AAGTAATTTACTTTATAGCTATTAAAGAATTGTCAAATTGACGATTTTTAGATTTTTTATTTGTATCACCAGTTTCTATGTAGTAAGTTTGATATCGATTATATTTGACGCGTCCTCCTGTCAAATTTCTAAATATAGATAAATAGATTTATTAAAATAACGTAAAAAATAACTTTCGTCTTTTCTGAATTTGTACATACTTAGTTTCTATCTAAAATGGCTTGGATACCTGGACTCGATGAACTTGGTTCCGGATATGATTACTTAAATGGTCAATATGCACAAAGTGAATCGTGTACTGAAAATTTCTTTGACTGGGGCAACATTCCAACATACGAAAGAATACTTAATGGCCAGACCTATATCATACCTAATATTGTTAACGTATGATTTTTTTTTAAAATTTACACAAATACTATATGTCATATATTACTTCAATATTTAATTTCTTTCGACTTGTATTAGTTTTATCCAAAGATCTCGGCTGAATATATATCTGTTGCTGGTGAAAGTTTAGATGAATATCATGAACTTCTTTCGAATACTGTTGATATTGGAGGTATTTTATTTTAATATTAATTAATCATTTGACAATCTAAAATCATTGAATCATTTTTTTTTATTAATATTGTTAATCAATATACTCTTTAGTAAAAATATGTGGCTTTACTGGTTCTTTAGAGACAGAATTTGGAAAAGTCGTTGATTATAATAAATTTCGAAAATTTAGTCGAATTCAATATAATTATTCTTCTCATCTTCTTCATCTTACTTCATCTCCTTCAATATTACGAAAATATCTTAAACCTGAAATTCGATCTGAAATTAATGATCCAAAAATTGATCCAGAAATAATTTTTCGTCGATATGGTTCTCATTTTATTCGTAGTCTTAAAATGGGTGGTCGCGTTGTTTTTAGTGCAAGCACTAATAAACTTAATCATAATTCCAAGATTGATTTAAAATCAGTAGCGAAAGATGCGGCTATCGAAATACTTCAGGGTGAATCATCTTATGAAGATGAAGTTATGAAGTTTAGACAAAACAGTGAAATTGATGTTCATGTATGTGGTGGTAATATTAGAGCTTTTGGAAATGATATGTTGCATCCGAATGTGGATGCTTGGGCAGCTACTGTACCAAATAACCCTGCTTTCATAACATTTGATAGATCAGACAGGTAATTACTGTTTACGTATAAAATTTGAATATAATTATAACAAAATCCTAACATAGATTTTAATTATTTAAATTTATAAAGTCTTTTATTCATTGGTGATTTGGTCGAAGATGAAACCCGAAGAAAACAGTTTATAGATGCTTGGCCAGTTTATGCTAATATTTACAAAAGGAAATTCAAGTCTTTTGAAGTAATATATGACATATAGTATTTGTGTA